TCCTGCATGTCTTGGGTCTGCTGCGGGTCCTCCTCCTGGTTGGACACACCTGTAAAACCTCACCTGGGAGGCGTTCAGACAGCATCCTTATCAGATGGCTGAGCCACCTTAACCGGCTCCTTTTGACATTAAATGATTAAAAACAAATACGAAAATCTGGTTGAACAACTCACACCTCAGTTTACTGGCAACAAATCTCTTTTCCACTGATGCAGTGCCAGCGGTGATGCCAAATTTAAATCAATATTGTCTGAACATGATTCTCAGGCCCTTCAGTGCGACTGTAGTAAAGCCAGGAAAAAGTCTGCTGGAAATCACTGCCCTAAAGGCTCAGGAAGACTCTCAACAACAAGTGTTACTGAACGCAGTCCATTCAAAAATTCAAAACAAAGCATATATAAACAACATCCAAAAACATTACAGCCTTCTTTAGGTCATGAATGTATGAAGCGTACTGATCAGTCTAACACTGGTTTCTGAGATACGTTCCAGGCAAAACCTGTTCACATATTCTTTTCCTTATTCCTTTCTGACACCTTTGACCTCTCTTGACGGTGTCCTTCTACATGCACATTTAGATGACTGCCTCTTCTGCGCGCTTGGAAGCAAAACCAAAATACAAAAAGTGCCAGTAAGAGAAGTACCACTCTGCTAGTAATAAGGATTTATCTGTCACTCAGACAAATCAGTGTCGTCTAATGGATCACTCCTATACATCCTGCTATGACTTTGGTCTAATCCTCACCCTAATGAAGACTTGGATTAGTGCTAAACTAAGAAAGAGGGTACGGAATAACAAAGCCCTCAACAGAATCACCCAAGTTACAGTTTACAAAGCTGTTGCTCTCTGCAATTTGCTTGGCGTACATGGACACTGTATGCCAAACAACATGAGAAACGTCTAAACATCCTCTGCTGAAGATGCTTAAGGAGTATTTTTAACATGAAGTGGTGAGACAAACTACCAAATGTTGAAATATTTGCCACCAAGCCTGCATGCTATCTTATCTCAGCACCCAAACTTGCGCCATAAAAGTAAAAGTAGTAGTAAGAGTCGAGAAATGTCACCAACTGTAAACATAGGGCACATTTGAAATAAAACAAAAAAACCCCCCCACAAACTGCTGAGTAGCTGAAACGTCTTTCCAAACGTTACGTCTTTCCATTCTTCATTGATACATTTCTTTCAGAACTACAGCAGCTGATCTCTTTCATTCTTCAACGCCTACAGGCTGTTAAAGTAAGAGGTGATGCAACGCTGCGGTAAACATGTGTCTGTCCCAGCTATTTTGAAACCTGTTGTTGGCATCAAATTCAAAGAGAGCATTAAAAAAAAGAGAGGCTAATTTCTAATCGAAAGATAACCATTTCAGGGTTTCACATGTTGTCTTCTTATTGCTTTGCCTAAACACACCCTTAAAATGATTTGACTTCTGTTTTTATCTCCATTTTACACAAAGTCGAAACTTTTTTTGGAAATAGGTAATTAGTAATGAGCTGCTGGTGCTTCGTATTTAACATATCCTTTAGTGCAGGGGTGTCAAACCTAAGACCCGGGGGCCAAAATCAGCCCTGCAAACGCCCTAATTCGGCCCATGGGGCAAATGTGAAAATGTGAAAAAGGACATAAGACTCTTGCCGATTGAATTTTTTTCATTTATTACAGCAGCGTCTCTTTATCATGTAGAAAATCTGAGATGCACTGTTGAAATTGCTCTTCTTTAACTTATATTAGGTTATCTCAGGAGTTTAATGCACAAAGTCAAACTTCTTTAGATGTCAAATGAGTTTGATATCCCTGCTTTAAGGGGGAAAAAGGACAAGGATTTATGACCTCGGACTGTAAGCTTTGTGTAACTGGGGCCTTTTATCACAAAACAGTTACCACTTCCACCCCAGAGATACTTCCCCTCTAGTTCCCCTAGTAGCTATTTAAACAAAAACCACATGAGAAGATCAAACAGGTATGCAACAAATACAAGGATGTAATGTTTTAAGGCAGCAAAGACGT